TTTATCATAAATGAAACTGGAATCCTAAAGGGAGAAACATCCAAAAAGTATATCTGAAAATGGTTTAAATATTCTAAATTTGATGAAAACCAAACCCCACATAGTCAAGAAGTTCAACTAACTCCAAACAACATAAACAGAAATATATATGTCTACATGCATAAACAAAGCATGTCAAGGATCATCATAAAGAAATTGCCAAGCACCAGTGATAAAGAGAAAATACAGTCAGAAGAAAATCACTGATAGATACACAAGAGCTAGCATGAGATTTTGGGCAGACTTCTTATCTGAAACTATGCAAGCCAGAAGAAAATAGACATGTCTTTAAAGAAGTAAAAGCAAAAGCAAAAAAAAAAAAAAAAAAAACAAGAAAAACCTCCCAACTAAGAACTATACACCCAGTGAAAATATCCAGGCAAAATAAAAACTTTTTCATACAAAGAATAGGCAATAAAAGTCATCACCAACGGGTTTGCAATATAAAAAAATATAAGCAGAAGGAAAATGATACAGGTGAATATTTGGATCTATGGGAAAAAAATGAAGAAAGACAGGAATGGCAAATACGTGGGTAAATATTGAAGAAGTTTCTCTTATTTTAATTTTTAAAATATAATTGACTAAAGCAAAAATAATAACAATACATTTTGGGATTCACAATTTGTGTAGAAGTGAAATGTATGAAAGCAATTGTACAAAGGGCTGGATGGTGGAAGGAAAGTATATAATTATAAAGGGCTTACATTGAATTGGAGGTGACAACATTGTTGAAAGGTAGATTTAGGTAAGTTAAATATGCACATTTTTAACCTTGGAACAGCTGTTGAAAAATATTAATGAAAAAATATAGGCAATAAGCCAAAAGAATATATAAAATGGAATTCTAAAATATAGTCAATACATTAAAAAGAAGGCAAGAAAATATTTAAAAGGCACAAAAGGAGGAAACAGATGGAAAACATAAGACAAATGGCAAGTCAATGGATTTGAGCACAACCGTTATGATGGTTTAATAATGATGGAAATTTAAATGTGCTAAGTATTCCAATTAAAGGACAGAGATTGTCACATTGAATAAGACCCAACTAGATATTGCCTACCAGTAATCCACTTTAGAAGTAAAGGGTCTTTTCCCCTTCTTTCTGGCTGGAAATTAGACTTGGTAAAGAACCATCATGGACCATGCCAATAAAGACTCCTTTGCAAATAAACATTAATCATTTCAGAAAGCTGGGAGGGGAGTGATGTCAGCAACATGGCTGAAGATGTCCCTAATTGTACCCCCACCTCAATAACAACGATTTGTCATCCATCCATGGACAGAAGTGCTTTTGTGGGAGCTGTGGGATCCAGCACCAAGGGACCTCGGCAAGGGTCTTGCTCACCTGAGCATCAAGTAATAGGCAGACAGCCTTCCGTCCCAGCTGTGGCCCGTGAACTGGCTCCAGCCCCTCTTGGCCACAGTCCAGGAAACCCTGGCGAACACTCATGTAGGCAATGACCCACGGACAAGAGAGCCTTTGTGGAAATCCAGGTTTCCTGCAGAGAAGTTCTAGCACACTTTTGGAGCAAAAAAAATCCTATGAATTTGGACACATTGGAGATAGTAAGAGGACAGTTTGACTTTACCAACATCACCCCACCTCAAGGTGGCACAGCTCAGCGCCAAGAGACTTTCTTAGCCCATAATTTCTCCTGCAGGAGAAAATGAGAGGGTCCAAGCTCACATACTTCAAAATAAGCCAATGGTCAAAGAAGAAATCCCAAGGGATAAAAACAATATATTTTGAAGTGAATAAAATTGAAAGCTAAAACATCAAAATGTGTGTCATGGACTTACAAGCAAAGTTATGGCTTTAAGTACTTATATGAGAACATTAAACGTTTAATATCAATGATGCAAAAATCTAACTTAAGAAGAGTGAAAAAGAGGACCAATTAAACCTGAAGAAAGGAAAGGATGAGAATAAAGATAAAAGTAGAAATCAAAGAAACTGGAAGTCAGAGTAAAAAGAAAAATCCATTTCAATTAAGGGCAAGGTTTTTTTGAAATAAAACATTAAAACTGATGGATTTCTGTCCTGACATATAAGGAAGAAAGGAGGAAAGTTAAAAATTACAAGTATTGTAATACCTGTTATGAACTATTTAGAATATAGAGGGAGATTTTAAAAGCACAATTAAGGCATGATGAGAGACACAATCTGTCTATAGACTCAACAACTTAGATAAAATGGACAAATGCCTTCAAAAAACACATAACTCATACTGATAAGTGTCTGGCTGAGGCTCAGTGGGGTAAGAAGTACAGGATGGGTTGCAGAGATACCAAAGAAAAGACCCAGAGACAGCAAACGAGACATATAGGTTTATTGGGAGTTATTTACAGGGAGGTCCAGTGGCAGCCAGCTGGAGAGCAATGTGCACCTGCTGCCGCCAGCAGGGAGGGGGTTTCTTATATAGGCAGGGGACACAAAGGCTATATGCTTGCCAAGAGGCCGTCCTTGGTCCGCCCAGCATTCCCAGGAACCATAGCTCACGTGGAGGGCGCTGTGTCCTTGTAAAACACTATGTTCTTTAAGTGAGATATAGTAGAATCCAGGCTGGCCAGGCCCTGGATTGTTACAAATGTCAGCAGCTGGGTGGCTTGCCCAGAAGGGAACCAGAAGCACACATGGTTGCAATGGGCTTGGGGTCTCTTGCTGAGCAAGCAAGGCCTAGGCCTTACATCCAGCCCCATGTGTCCAAATGGCCCTCACCATCTTATTGCGTCATTCTTCCTCAGTGTCCCTTGAGCCAGACACACAGAGGAATGTTGTAACTAGATACCACAACAGTAAGAAAACAAAATCAATAACAAGAAGGGAAGAATGCCAAAGAACACCTTTCACCAGGTGGAGGGGAGGATTTGAATCCAAGCAGACACCGGGTCAGTGCACATGGCATAAATAGCCTGTGTATGGGTGTGTAAGGAGCCACTGCAGAAGAAATGTTATGAACACAGTCTGGGATATAGACACAACATTCCACCTTTATCGGAGCACAGATCCCTCCCTGGGCAGCAGTGAACATTCTATTGTGCAACATTACTTGTCTCATTTGGGATGTTTCCTCATTTAAAAGTGTTACTGTGTGTCTTGTGTCATTTAGAGCTGTCACCACATGTTGGGCTAGGGCAGACACTTGCATTCTACAGCAATGGCCAGAGCTGGTGGGGAAAAGACAGCAAGGGGGTAAAACCACCCTGAAGTGCATCGCACACGGTGGCGTGCACCACTGCCTCCCAAATTGAAGGAAGCTGATGAAAGGAAGACAGGATGCATGCAGAGATGTAGGGGCACCCCCTTCTGCATCTGCTGGTCCAGTTATAAGGTGGATAGGGCCAGCTGTGGGTGCCACAAGCCCACAACCACCCCGAGGAGAGTCACAGGCTCCTCTGATGGGGTTGTTTTATTTTCCCGGCCATGTGTCAGAAGTAATGATAATTGTTTGGTTGCACGTTGCTTTAGGTGTCCACCCCACATTTTTTGAAATACTTTCATTTGGTGGTGCGGAGTTATTGTGATGTTCAATGTGCCAAGGAAGGGAACCTCTTAAGTCAATTTGTACAGCAATTAACCATCCTCTGCTATCAGACATGGAGTTCCTCACCTTTGGTGTTGTGTTAACCTGCTCACACCCAAGCTGGAAAACAGACTTTCGAGAACCAGAATAAAAGGCAAGAACAGGTTACTTGGTGGGAGAGCAGTAAAAATGGGAAAGTGGGCGATGCTCCTCCACCCTCTCAGGGTGCTCCAGTCGGAGGCATGGGCATCTTGGAGACACGTGGCTGAAGAAAGGGGAAGCTCATTGCATACCCAGCAGTTGGAGTGACTTTTGTATGTCAGCAAGTGTGTGCCCAAGCAGTGAGACAGTTGGCAGACATCTTCCTAAGGACGAAAAGTAAGATGTTTAGAGGGAACTAGAAAAGTGAGGTCATGACTGTCTAACACGACACACACAGTTGCAGTGTCTTGAGTAGTATGGTACCAGCCTGTGGTTTTAGACCAGGTCAACAAGACTGTACTGCTTGTCCAGCTGGTGTGGATGCTGCAGAGCAGTGGTAAAGCATAAGGGAGGGACAATGACATACCAGAGGGAAAGGATGAAAGTGCCTTGGAGAATTGGAGTCCCTGGATTAGTAAGTTTGGAGGCTTTGGGTTGCCTCCCCACAATGAAGGGTGTCACCGTGATATCCTATCGTAAGCCTGTTCCTCAAGGGCCTAAGAGACCACACCAGCAGGGCCCCACCTGCCAGTCCCAGGGCCAAGGGACCATGTGGGTCCTGGTAGGGAGTTCTTGTGGCAGAGGCAGAAGCAAGTTGTTCTGAGTGTCCACCTGTAGTTGTAGTGTGTCTCCTTGATTAGCTTTTGTCTGTAGATGTGCTGTTGTTTCAGCTCCTTGTGTCAACATCTGATATGCACTGGGTTGGGTGCGCTTCTCATGTTCATTCAGTTGACATATTGCTGTTGTCAGACATCTTGTCCAGTGGGCCAAGGTCCTGTCTTCTGTCCTCAGCTGTTTCAGCAAGCCATTCATTTGTGCCACCAGCCCTATAGCTGTATGGTTGTATGGCTGGTGAAAATGTCAATGTATGTCCATTTGATCAGCCCATGTCTGTACCTGGTGGCCAGTAAAACGAGTACCTTGGTCACTATCGATGTCTATGGGAATACGATACGTGGTGCACAGGTGTTCCAGGCCTCTTCTGGTGGTCTTTGTGTGGTCCTCTTGCTGGGGTGTGCCTGTAGCAGTCTTTATATGTGTCCACACAAGTAAGGGCACGTCAGCAGCCATCAGAAAGAGGCAAAGGATGGATGTAGGCCACCTGCCAGCATTGAGGAGGCTGGTTGCCTCTGGTGATTTGGCCTGTGTCCCATGGCCTGGGGTCTTTGCAAGGAAGAAGAAGGGCGTGCCTGACAGACCTGCACCACATGAGCACAGAGTAGGGAGAGGCCTCAGGTCTTGACTATAGCCCATAAGGTCCTTTGTCCTTTATGTCCAGTTTTCTTGTGTAGCCATTCTGTCACTCTCTTGGCTGGTGCTTCCTCCAGGAGATGGCTCCAAGCTAACTCGTCTGCTTGCTGGTTTCCTGGCAGCATTGTTGTCTGATATGCAGACACATGGTACACCGTTATCATCATTTCCCAAACCCGCTGCCAGATATCATTCCAGAGTTCTGCCCCTGATAGTGGGCGACGATTAATAGTCCACTGTTGTTGTGCCCATTGTACCATCCACAGGGTGAGCCCTTTATAGACTGCCTGACTGTCCATGCACAAACATATTGGATCTGGCTCATGAATCAACACCATCCAGGTGGCCCACAGTTCGGCCCATTGACTACTGTACCCAGAGCGAGTCCACCGCATTGCTGTCGGTTGAAGGCTGGATGGCCAATTCTGTCCACTAGGAAGGGTGCGCCTTGCAGAGCCATCCATACACCAGGTCTCTGCCAGGATTGGACCCTCTCCTTCCTGTACATTTGGCAGGGTTTCAGACACCAGCACCTAGTCTAACGGGGTTCTTTCTTCTGTGGTATATGCTACTGGTCCTACGGTGGAGTGCAATTCTGCACTTAGGGGACTGTTGGTCAGGGTCCCTCATTGTTGTAAGTATGCATGCTACTTTGCCAAGGTCTGTGTTTGGGTTGTTCCGGAGTAGGGCTTTTGGAAAACAACCCACAGCCACCCCACAACGGGCAGATGAGTATGGACTGTGACCAGCAGGGAACGGGTTATGGCTCCACCTGCTGGAGGGCAAGGGAAGCAGCACATAATTGTTCCAGAGCACTATACTAGCTTTCACTCCCTTTCCACAATTGGGACCAGAAACCAAGAGGCACTCATTTATTACCTTGTCTCTGCCAGAGACCCCATCTGAACCCCTCTGAACAGAAAAAACAATACCCTTATATATATTAAAGACATTGACTTTGCAGATAAGAGCTCTTCTACAAAAATTTCAGACCCAGATGATGTCATGAAGTCTATCAAACATTTAAGGAAGAAATAACAATCCTACACAAACTGTTTCAGACAAACAGCAAGGATCAAATATTTCCCAACTGATTTTATAATGTCACCATTGCTCAGCTACCAAAACAAAGTAAAAATGTTGTAAGAAGAGAAAATTGCTGAACAGTAACCCCAATAAATGTAAATGCAAAACCTTTAAAATCATATTAGCAAACCAAATGAAAATATATAGGATGGATAGTACATCATTGCCAAGTGGGAATTATTCCAAGAACTGAACACTGATTTAACATTTGAAAAGTTAAACGTAATGATACACATTAATAGAACAAAGGAGAAAGCCCTAAGGTCATCTCAATAGATGCAGAGAGATTATTTGACACAATTAGAACCTGTTTGTGATTAAAAAAGAAAAAAAAAAAAACCCTGGCAAAGTAGGGATAGAAGAATATTTCCTAAACCCAGTAAAATGTATCTGGAAAATTTACAGCTAATATCGATCGCAGTTAATGGTGAAAGATGGCAAGATCTCCTCATAAGACTGAGAACTTCAATATTATACTCAAGGTAATAACCAGTGCAGTAAGTCATAAAATGAATGAATGAATAAAGAGACATGAAGATGTAAGGAAGACATAAAAATACTGTTATTGTAGATTATATGATCAGGTGAATAGAAAATTCTAAGGTATATTTTTTTAAGACAGTAGAATTACTAAATATCTTAGGAAGACCACAGGATATAAGGTAAATATATAAAAGTCAACTGTTTTTCTCCGTAGTAGCAGAACAATCTGAAAATATTCTAATGAAAACCTGGTACCAAAGGCAATGGGGAATAGTCAACCTGTATGATATCAATATGAATGAATAGTTTCTTTCCTCAGTACACTTGCTTCAGTGTTAATGAATCCTGTCTAGGAGTCTACAGGCAAGAAGGGCTGTGTTTATAAAGGCCTGTTGTTCCAGAGCCGGGCTACACTAGACGTTAGTGACAATTTAATGGGTAGGTGATTAAAATTGAAGCAGATTCCATGTCTATGATTTGACGCAATTTTGACAGTTTAAGAGAAATCAGAAGGACGTAGATCTAAATTACTTAAAAGAAGTCAAGTGATACTCATCTATATTTCTAACTCTTTGAGTCAAAAGTCAACTTTTTCCTTTTTAATGTCCATTTATGGGTGTTGATTTGAAGTTCATCAGCTGTAAACATAGAGTGCCTGCAAAATAAAAATGTCTTTCATCTTCAATAAGAGAGCAAAATTTTCAGAAAACTCACCGTGATGGTTAACTTTATGTATAACTTGACTGAGTTTTAAAGGAGGTCCGGATAGCTGGTAAAACATTATGCTGGGTGTGTCTGTGAGGATGTTCCAGAAGAGATTAGCATTTGAATTGGTGGCCTGGGTAAAGAAGATTACCCTCACCAATGTGGGCAGGCATCTCCCAATCCACTGAGGGCCTGAACAGGACAAAAGGACAGAGGAGGGCCAATTTGCTCTCTGTTGAGCTGGGATAACCATCTTCTCCTGCCTGGGACATCAGCGCTTCTGGTTCTTTGGACTCAGACCAGGACTTACACCACTGGCCTTTGGGTTGGGGCTGGAACTACACCACTGACTTGCCAGCTGGCAGATGGCATACTGTGGGACTTCCGAGCCTCCATAATCACGTGAGCCAATCCCTCATGATACATCACTTTCTATATACTATATATCTATCCTATTGGTTCTGTTTCTCTGGAGGACTCTGACTAATACACACTCTGTTCTTGGCTGTATTATTTCTGAAGAATCTTCTTGGAATGAAATGAAGAGATATACCAAAAGTAATTGTCTTCCTATGCTTTCCCAAATTGGCTACAACAATCAGAAAGCAGTAGGATTTAATTACATTTTAGTTTAAAATACATAGAAAGTCATTATCATCATGGGGGCAAGAAGCAGATATTAACTGATTAGTGAAGAAAAATGCTGATGATGTGTCACCTAATAAATCCCAAAACACACGTGTATGATTCCGGGGAGGGGAGTGGCCAATGGGAGACAGACAAAGAGGGAAACACAAAGAATAAAATGTGTAGAAATATCGAGAAGCTCTTGTAATATTAAGAAGAGGAATCCTATAAAAGTCACATAAAAATAGTCATTTATTTTTAAGGTTTTTTTCCTTTTTTACAAAGTTAGAAATTCCAGAGAGGTATAAAGTAGTCATATGTGTATTGTACTAACTTTCGGGGACCTAAAATAAGGATCTTAAAATAAATAAGAATGTTAAAATAGATATTTATTATTGAATTATAAAACATGATAAACAAAACCCTCAAATATACAATTGAAAGTAGTCAAAGTCTCATAATGGACAATTAGATCTGTGCTTATCATTAAGTATTCATTGTGTGTAAATAAAATTTATCATGAAATTCAGAAGTACATTATATTACTATACATACAAAAAAGGATAGTGCTCTTTCTCTGGAGTTGGAAGGCCTTCTTAATATTAGATTGCTTTTCGTGTTTCTGCAAGGTTTTTAGGTCTGTATATATGGAACATTTTCTTGTAGTGCTCTGTACTACTTTAGTTTGTTCAATCTTGGCTATTGTGCTGAAAACATCAGTCAGGTAAGCTACATATGAAGATTGATCCCCTTTTCTGGATCATTAATTGCCTCTTATTACAACTGCTGGTTGGATCCAAGGTTCTGTCAATTGTTTTGTGGTCAACAAAGTGTGAGATGGACTTGTGGGGGTAGAGGGGTGGCATTTAGCACTTCATTCTATGGTTACCATTTCTAAAGTGCATCTTCGTAAATCTAACGTCACTAGTTCTCAACCAACTAATTGACTGTCATTCTACTAATGCGTCTCTCAGTTGTATAATGTGCATTGATTGACGCTATTTCATTGTGTTCTAACTTATTTATGTGCATAATTGCAGGTTATGAAGTCATCATCTACCGACTAATTTATCTTTTCCTGCTGACAACCCCCCCCAAAAAAACCAGTTTGATTACAAATGCTGAAAGACTTCAATAAATAAAAGAGAAAAAGTGTGTTTTTTCTGAAATGTAAATTTCTGATGAAGAAGAATCTTTGATTCTGTTAAATAGCTGGCCACAAGACAAATGACTATTTTTTAGTGTATCAACTTCTAAAATAATTTGATCAGTTTTTTGACATTGTGGATACAAAATGATCTTAGAAATGAAGTATAATTATTATTCTTGCCATTATTAATAATCATGACATGATGATAATAATATATCTCTTTCAGTAATAAATAGTAGGATGATATATTAATCAGACAATATAAATTATATTGTATAAAAAAGATTAAAGTAAAACAATGATGAGTACATAAAAATGTCCAGAAATGTGAATTATACATAGATAGCTAGAGCTGGTGCACAATTTTCTTTTTCTATCTTTTAATAGGCAACACATACAAAGGAAATCCTATTAGTTACACAAATTACTGCATTCAGAAGATAAAAATGTAGTTACTCAAATAAAGAACATCTCTTGTAGAAAAAAAATTTCTTCTCAACTTTCCTCCACTAAAAGATACTTTTTGATGAAATAAACAGTATTCTTAGTAACAATAAAAAGGGTAAAATATGGTTTACAGGACTATTGCTAGAGGAGAATTTCCAGATTGTTTTCTAGAAAATGGTCAAAAAAATTGCAGTCATAGTAGTTGCAATTAAAATTTTATTTCCTGTATAATGAATGAAATGTATTAGAATATTGTTACTAGAAATTAATTTCATGCAATAAATATTCAATGTGACCCAAATGAATGAAAAGAAAATCATAAACCAATGTATACTTTTTCTTTCCTTTTTTTTTTTTTTTTGAGGAAGCTTAGCCCTGAGCTAACTACTGCCAATCCTCCTCTTTTTGCTGAGGAAGACTGGCCCTGAGCTAACATCCATGCCCATCTTCCTCTACTTTATATGTGGGATGCCTACCACAGCATGGCTTTTGCTAAGCAGTGCCATGTCCGCACCAAGGTTCCGAACCCCCGAATCCCGGGCCACCAAGAAGCAGAACATGAGAACTTAACTGCTGCACGACCTGGCCGGCCCCATACTTTTTCAAGTCTAGATTGACATGTAACTCTAACCTCCCTGATATGAAAGCTCTGTTGAAGTTTTTCCAGTTGGGACTTCTGAAAAGGCTGAATCAGTTGAGACTTTTTAATAAACAAATTTATTGAAGTTTGGACTCAAAATCACTCTATTTTTCTTGTTATTATGTATGACTCTCAGAAATGCCTTCAGATCTGGCCTGAGAACTTAACTAGACCACGTGAAATTGTTTCTCTTTGCAGAAAGAAAGGGGACTATTAGACCGTAACCATTGTTCTTAAGATTTGCTAAATTCTGGCATCCCATTATAAAAACATCACCCAGATCTTTTCTGTTAGAGTAGTAAAAAGGAAATATCTGCAAAGCCCTG